AGAGTTTACAGCCGTGAACACATCAGAATACAGTCCCTTGGCCATAAACTCAACAAGGTGGTCTTAATGTGCCCCTGTTGATTTCCTAAGGCTTGGACTTGATCATTGGATGTGCAATCATGACTTATATGACTTTAAAACATAATATGGAACTTAGTACCATGGGTTTATGGATATAAACTCTTGGGGAAATGGTTATGGGCCGTAAACTCCATAAGGAGTGGTCCTTGGACCATAAACTCCAATGCCATGCCATAAAACCCTTAGATGCAACCCTTTGGGACGTATACCACTTGAATCAAAGTGTTTCCATGACCTAGGGTGTCTTAACTTGAATAATCAGTTGTTAATTGACTAATTAGATACATATATGTTTATTATTTGATAACCAGGACCATTGTGTGTGTTCAAGTCCTCACTTGACACCTAGCACCTTGTCTGACACTTTCGAACAAACAACTCACTACAGGTGAGTTCATACCCCTTAATTAACCTTTGAAATGCTTTTAAATGTTTTTAAATTCTTTATGCGGGGAATAAAAGTTGAACCATGTTAGTTATTAGATCATTCACATGTGATTAATAAGTAACATACAAATGGATTTTTCATGCTTTAAAGTGTTTTACCAAACAAATGACTTCAAACTGTTAATAAACTATTTTACATATCAAACACTTTATCAAATTCACTTTTGGATACTAAACCTTTCTTGTACAGTTTTCAAACTTATATATTGTTAATACCATATCTATTACATGTATAGTTATCTAAATTAGGTTTGAAGGACTTAGGAGATATAACCCACTTTACTTCCTGTCCTTGTTTGGTTGTGGTCTTAAAGTACCCAGTTGTTTGGCCGAGTGTCGTTAACCCTTAGTTATATTATATTATATTATATATATATATATATGTGTGTGTGTATGTGTGTGTGTAGATATAAAGACTTTTATCTCAATTCAGTACATTCAATCATTCAAACAAGTTTACTAATAAACTATAATAGGTATAGTTTAGAGTTATACTACATACAACTTCTAGTCCAATGAGGTAGACAAGAGTTAGTTCATTCATGAGTCATTACTTATTACTATGAAAACATCTACAACTATACTAAGGATGAGAATATATACAACTATACTAGGTTGAGAACGTATAAAACTATACCATGATGAGAACATATACAACGATACTATGATGAGTAACAGTGCATTACATATACAAGAATACGTTGACATAAATGTGATCCACTGTATCGGAGCATGCCTTCAATGTCATGGCCCGAGTTGTAACAAAAATCTCCTGGAGGGAGAGCGTGAGTTTACGTATAGATCTATACTTGATTGACTATCCTACACCTTGCTATAAATCTGGTTTAAGGTAGTTAGTACAACATTAGTTCCTATAATATAACACTAAAGTACTACATTAATTTAACCTTTATATTTATTTGGTGATTACTTCACATAAACATTAATGAACAAACTATGTTTTGATAATGATACTTACACTTGGGAAAATTACACACTTTTACAAGAAACAAACATACAAAATAGTTGTGCCTTGGTAGAAGGCTACTTTTAGTATAAAATATAGGATTTTCTAGGAGTTACTAACTTTTACAAACACTTACAAACATTCATTTACTTTTACTACAAATGTTTACAAACTCGTACTTCAAAAAACGGTTCAAGCATTTTGATACAAACATAGACACTAAATACTTATGAACTCACCAACTTTAATGTTGATAAACTCTTTTAAAATAACATGTATTCTCAAGTCATCAGAAGACAGGTACCGAAGCCAGCTTTTGAGAAGATGGAGCGCATACACGACTCATCTTATATTTTGATTTATGTTTTGTTGTCTTATATACTACAGAACACACTTGTATTGAAATTATGTATTTAATCTAATGGATGATGTCGTTTACTTGTTTACTACTATACTGTGTTGTGATACTATACATGACGTCCTCCGCCCCATAACGTTTCAGCCGTTCTCGGTTTTGGGGTGTGACAGTGATGGATTGGATGATAATTCTGAATATGAAAAAATCGAAACAACGGTTTCCTGGAGATACAATTGATGGGTTTTAGGTAAAACAAGTAAACTAGAAAAACAATTCCTAAGTTCACATGCAACCTACTTTGGATCTATGTGTTAACTGTTGAACATATAACTTTGAATTGCAAAACAAGAACCCTAGAGGAGAGAGGCTATTTTCGAAAATAACAAACTAGGGTTTTGGAATTACAAACCTTTCAATTGTTATAGCAAAAAATTGATAATCCTCTTGAATTTGTTCTTGATCTCCTTGGAAGCTTAGCACCACAAATGTAATGCCTCTAATGTAATCACACCCAATAACTAGCAATAAGGAAACTAGAAGAAGAGAGAGGGAGGGAGTATGCAATTCTCGGCCTTAGGGTTTCTTCAAAAGAAGGAATGGCCAAAACTATGAACCACGAGGCTCCTTATATAACTGAGGGATCTAGGGTTTTGAAAAACCCTAATGCTCCTTACTTAGGGCCTAAGAAAACCCAAGGGTCATATCCAAGCCTCCATGGACGAAATCATTAGGGTTTCCCCTACAGATTTCATCCACCATCTTGCAAGGGGGTTGTAGAGCCTTCCACTCAACTATTAGATAACTGCAAACTAGTCCCTGCACCTTCTAATTAATACTTTTAACCCCAAAATTAATTTTGATCAATTTCTGGCTAACTATGAATTAAACATAATGATTTCTAATTAATATATTAATCTTTTAACATAATAATAAGTTCATTTATATTAATTTGTTAATCATATAATAAATCAATATCTCCTTTTTCATAATTTCCTTGTCCGGTTGCTAGGTTTGAGGGCAACCCAAACGGACTGTGCTACTATAAGTTAAAGTACATACCAATTATAGTTATCTGCTTAGACACCTAATCCAACAGTCTCCCACTTGGATAAGTCTGTAACTATAATTGCTAGTATGACTTCTAAATTTAACCAGCAAATTGTAGCTTCCAAAAGCTATTGCAGAACTCTGACCCGGTCAGTTACGTGTCCTAAGATAAGTGATCTCATGACCCTTCGTTCTACTAGATATCCCTAGACATAAGACATGAAATAAAATCAATCTCTTTGTCCAGAATCTATGTTTCCTAATTTCTGATTTGTGATGATATAGGACTTCTAATCGAACACATCAATTCACTCCTGGCTTGGCCCAACACCAAATCATCAAGGGGCCCACAGATATCGCTTTTCCCGCTAAGGCAAAAGGAACAAATAAACATTGACTCATATGCTTGTATCATTTATTTATCAAACCATACATGACAATAAGTTTTATAACACCAAGTTACTGATGCGTTTTCGTATCACCAATGTATAGCCGACTTGCAAATTACAACATATATCTCTGTTTCAAGATCATAGATATTATTGTCTCAGTATTACTCGTGATGAATTCAATGAAGTATTACTCTGAGTGTGGGTTTATCCAATACTCAAATCTCACTCTTTGAGTACCCATGAACATTGCAGCAATTTTACTTAATTCACTACTTACTTCCAAAAGTACGAGCGACTATGGAGTTCGAACAATCATATTATTTGGGAAGTAAAACATGAAAAATATGAAACTGATGAGTACATAAACTCTAGATCGATTAGATCTTTCAAAGGTATGATTATAAAGATCGAACAAATAAAAAATTGTATGAAAGTAAACACAGGATGGAATCAAGTGTATGCTTATGATTCAAAACAAAGTCATGCATCAGCAGGCTCGACAAAGAACTTCCGTTGTAGAGGCGAGTTAGGGTTTACAAAACTTAGAGTAAATACAATAATGAAAGCGATAATAACTAAGACTGCATGCATGTAGCTTATAGACTAAACCCTAGTATAAAACATGCATGGTTGGACAGGCCCAATACTGGCAATCAAAATTGGGCTAAGGACCGAGCCCATGACGCAATCTATTAACCCCAAAAATCTCCCCCTTTACGTCAAATGAGGCGAGAGATCATTTCTTCTGAGTGGGGTTCACTGTATGTACAACTTTAAACAGACGTGGAATTATTGCAAGAAGTGTTTGTCAATACTGTAGGTACCACCTAAACATGTCAGTGAATAATTTCTTAACAACAGCACTGTTCTGATCACACCTCTGGATGATTTCTAAGATATGCTCCAGGCATGATGTTGAGAACAGGTGTTTGTCAAAAAGAACGAACAGACATTTCTGACCTTTGCCCCTGAGGAACATAACAGTTTGGTAAACTGTATCGATCTTCCCCTTGACCATAGTGTTGACATTGCCAGCTTTGCCCATAGCTTTGATTGTAGTTTGTTTGTCAATGGCTGAGGCAATCTCCTGGTCCATCTTTGCCACTTCATGTATGTAGCAAACAAGCATACGCTTGATATTATCAATTATTGGTTGGTACTCCTTAGGATTTCACAGAAGAATGTTGTTGAGGAGTATCCAGTCATGGGGATTCAGGTGCGGCAAATCAGCGAGGGTGTAGCTATGAACCGAGCCTTCGGAGCCTCGAGTCACTTTAAATTGAACATTGACAAACTTCCCCGCTGTATAAGGCTTTAAAACCTTGACAGTTTTGATCTTTTTCAAACTTCAGGTCAAGTAGTGGGGTTGAGTAAACTCCAGATAAAACTCCAACAGATCCCTATCTACCTTCGAGTCTTGGGAAGGAACAGCAATAGTTGAATTAAAGCAATGAGAGACAAATGCCTTTCGGGTGATTGGCATGTCAAACTGTGCATCCTTGGGGTTTTCGAGCCCAAAATACATAACTGGCTCAAGCCAAAGAATGCATGGCTCATCAATTGCGCATCTCTGGAGCAAAACTGCAGTCCACTCGGGAAACATGGACTTTTTCTTATCTACGTGCTCCGTCTCCTTGTTCTTTCACTACATCTTTACCTGTTGTTTCTTGAGATTTTCTTCTAGCTCTTTTTCGGAGTGCTTTGTCTTCTAAAATGGATTCTTAGGATTTTCAGCATATACATCATCCTCATCATCTGTGTCATCTTCTCCAATTTTCTTTTTTTTCTTCCATTTGTGACTGACCGAAGCCTCATTACCCTTCGGTTTAGATGATGGTTTCGGTTCAGTAGGAGGTTGAGTTGGCTTCTCTCGAGTTTGCTTTTCTCCCCCTAGTTTCGGCTGGACACCAGTCCCCAGAACACCCTATATACGACTAAGGATGTAAAATGCTGGCCTAAGTTTATCAGCCAGATGCTGACGGGTGGTAATTGTGATGAATGGATCATGTGCTTCAATGAGATGAAGGAGGATGGAGTGAACATCAGCCACCGAACTCCGAACGACCTCCTTCTCTGACTTGAGATCATTGAGCTCAGTAGTGGCAGTACGCAGCTTGAGGTTTTGCATTTTCAGCTGGGAGGTGTGTTTATCAAGCTCATCCATAATGAGATTCTCTACAGCCAATTCGGCCTCAAGCTGAGTGAGACGATCATTGACGTTAGCTTGTAGAGATGCATTGGCTGCTTCAATGGCTTGTCGTGCTACTTCAAGGTTTGATCATTCAGATTGAAGAGACCGTTGAAGGTTCTCTACTGAAGCGTTGATAGCTTGAGCATTATTTTGAGCAGCAGCCTGCAAGGAATCTAAAAACACTTGAGCGTCAGAAACTAGTTTATCGACTTTTGCAATCGCTTCCTTGCATTCTTTAGTCGAAGCATCAACAATAATTGAGGCTTGTTAACATTGGGAAGTGGAGGCTTCGATTGCTTTGGCTGCAGAAGATAAAGCAGCACTGTGTTCAGTAACAACTGAGGAGAACAAGGACTTCAATGCAGCTTCAGAATAAGTGTCGGAGGTAGTGGATGAGAGTAGTTGATCAAGCTTTTCATTTAGTTCCTTGAGATGATGTTTCGTAACAGGCTCATCATCATCATCATCGCTTTGCACTCGGTAGGGACTAAAATACGTGGAATCAAATTCCAAGTTCTCACTACCTAGAATAGCGGTTGTTTCAGTGGATTATGTTGGAGATAAGGATTTTGAAGTAGGTGGAGGTTCGGTTGTGACAGGGGGTTCGGTTGTTATTGGTGGAGTGGGGGCGGTAGAATGAGCACCTATTATTGTAGTGGTTGTGTCTGTGAATATGGGAGTAGGGATGGAAATTGTAGTGAATGGTTGAGTGGTTGGAATGGGAAAAATGGGAGGGATAGATACAGGGATGGTTACACGTGGAGGTGAAGGAGGGTGAGAGAGAACTAGAGTTGCTGGGGTAGCAATCTTGTGTTGGGGAGGAACATACTCTGAATCGGAGTCACTCAAAGATAGTACCATTAGCCTCCTTGCTGGCTTCTTCAGCTTCTTCGGTTTGGGAGGGGAGCGAACAGCCCGATCAGACTTTCGCTTCAGAGGGGTTTTCGCCTTGGTGGGTTTGGAAACTTGTGCCTCTTTTTGGGTTTCCGCTTTCTTACCCCGTTTTGCAGTTTTGTCAGCCTCATCAATAGAGCGAACCATGGCTGGGGTAAGCTCCCTCGGACCTGAAGATGGATGTTTCCTATATTGTTGGAGAATGTTGGTCGAGGCAGAGAGAGGAGCGAGCATAGCCTCTAGAATAGACCCAATAAATGAGTACTTGGTTTGATCGATGATAATAATCTTCGTATTATGAAAGGTAGCAACGGGGGAGAGAATAGAATCCGCCATGATTGGAACATGAAGGTGGTCCATTTCTCAATTGGTGATGATTCTCAAAAATCTCCCACACGAGATCTCAGAGTGCCTGGAGGAAGAGACCAAGCATTGTACCAACTGTTGCCAGATTATAGTCCCAAAATCTAAGTTGATCCCATGGTATAGCCCATAAAGCACAGTCATGAAAGTCTTGCTTGCACCATCCGATGCAATGCTTCGCTAAAAAATTCCTTTGAAAATCAGCGTGAAAAGGCCATTCCATTGAAGAGGAAGGCAGTACCTCTTGAACTTTGTGATAGTCGTAAGTGTTTCGGTATATCCCATCTGATAAAACATAAAAAACAGTTGACTAGTGGTAATGGAGTCAAGATTTACTAGAGATTGATCTTGAGAAAGACGAATTAGGGAACAGAAGCGGTGCTTGGAGATAGAGGTCTTCTCATTGTGGATTTCGAAGTGAATCCGTTCATGAATCTTATTGTAGTAGGCAGTAGAGTAAACAAGTGAAAGGCACGACATTGAATCGACTTCGACCTTGGTGAGCACTTCGACGAGAGGTGAGTATTTGAGACACTCAACAACGTACAACATATAAGGCTGATAAACAAATGGAGTGAGGTCGATGATCAGGCTCTGTTGTGGTTTGATGGTGAGTAATGGTTGACAAACGGAAGTATCGTGAACTGATGAAGAATCTGCCATTGTAGTTTCTTGAAGAAGATGATGAACAGTAGGAGAGATCGTCGTTGTTCTTTGAGAGAATTTGGGAATTGGTAAAGTTTAAAGAGTACCGTTCGAATCCCTTTTATACATACAAGTAGGAGAGAGAAAAATCCGGCTGTGATCATGGATTATTTCAAAAATAGCGCCTGATTTGACGTGTGAATAGTTGGCATACCAAGGATGACGCAGGAAAGAGAAAGGTATTTTCCTTTTTGGCATGCCATTCCATAATTTGCGCTTTTTCAAATTACCGAACCGATTGGATAAACGATAAGTCAGCTTCCACTTTATCCCAATCGTCACTCCTTTAACACTTGAATCGTCACTACCTGTGATGCTTTATTGAACACTATTAATAGAACCAGAGTGTGGAAAATTAAAATTTTCGTGCATAGAGTGTGAAAGATAAAGAACTAAAGCATATGTTTTAGGATAATTTGTGATACCTTAAATAGACAGAAAACAATGGATTATGGGCATGAATCACTTCCTTCAAAGTCAAGAGAGACATTTAAGTGCTTGCTTGGTTTCCCATTAAATAACGATCAATTACTTGTTAAGAAGTATTGAAAGGCATCTTTTAAAGGTTATAAAGGGTGGCTCTCGCTTCAATTCATGATGTCGATACTCGACATGAGACCGAAACTGAATGAAGTACTTGTGAGATCATTGTGATCGGTTGAATATGTAGGTAAGATAACTTCTGTAGTGACAAGAGGAAATATTGAAATCTCAAAAAAAAAAAAAAAAAAAAAAAAAAAAAAGGATCTTTAAGGGAAGAAATTCCTTGCTTTTAGACAAATTCAAAAAAGATCACACAAAAATAAAAAGAGATTTCTTTAGGTAACAAGTAAGCTCTTGAATATGAAAATTCACCGTCAATTCATTTGAGGTGTTGAATTGTGGGTTTCACTTAGTAAATAGTGGCATGAGACTAAGATCATTAACACAGATTGTGTATAACCATAAACAGCAGTGGTAAGTGTTGAGAGTCTCAGGGGTTATATAGGAGATACGAAGTATAATGGAGAAAAAAATATTGCAGATGGTATAAGAAGCGAATGTACCTCTGCTTTAAAGAAAAGAGTGACCAAGCAGAAAACTCTAAACTTAATATGAGTAGAGTAAGGTAGCTCATGATAAGAGTGAATATTACAGCTTGTATTGGGAAAACATGATTTGTATATATCATGTTATTAACGCTTCACTCAAAATCATTAGAGGCTTTAGTCAACATATAGCAGCATGCTTCTAGGGACACCTAACTAATGGAGTAAAATGAAATAAATATACCTGCTTGAGCTCCACCATCGAGAAATACACTTAGACAAGTAAAAGTGTTAGAAAGAATAAAAAAAATATTTTTGTATTTTGTGAGAATTGACCAATTAAACGAAAAAGAAAAATATTTTTGGATTTTATAAGTATTTTTATGAGAATAAAAGCGAAAAATATTTTTTGGAATTTTATATGTAGGAAAGAAGGAAAGAAAAAGATTACAAAAGACTACAGTTAAAATGCCTTGTTAAGAAAAAGAAGCGAATGAGTTCAGAAGGATCGAACCAAAAATAGACCGAACGTTCGGTTCATGTCGATTCATGGTCGAAGTTCAACCGAAATAAACCAAACCTGAAATAGACCAAACGTTCAGTTCATTTCGGTTTGGTCTATTTTGCTTGTTACTTTTATAAAAGCAAAGGCGTTTTTGGTACAGATTCAGCTTGCATCAGTCCTAGGCCTTGTAGAATCTTATTGAAGCTCGCTTCAGGTAAAGCCTTTATGAATATGTCTGCCAGTTGATCAGTCGTTCTGACGAAGTGAATGTCTAGGTTACCATCTTCGATGTGATCCTTCATGAAATAGTACCTTAGTGCTATATGCTTAGTCTTCGAATGTTGCACTCGGTTGTGACAAATCCTAATTACGCTTTTAGAGTCACGATACAGTGGGATTTTCTTCATGTTTAGCCCATAATCCTTAAGTTGACTTTGTATCCAAACGACTTGAGACGTGCAGGATGCTGCAGCACTGTATTCAGCTTCTGCAGTGGATAGAGAAACACAAGTTTGTTTTTTTGATTGCCAACTAATCAATTTACCATCTAGAAATTGACGTCCTCCAGTTGTGCTTTTACGATCTAATCCACAACCACCTAAGTTAGCATCTGAGAATGCTTAAAGAAATAATCCAGAGTTGGCTGGATACCACAGACCGAGAGAGGAGGTTCGCTTCAGATAACAAAAAATGGTTTTCACAACTTGTCAATGTGGTTCGCGTGGGGTGGCTTGAAATCCCATAGGCACTTTCACTATGGAGTCTCCCATCATCCCAAATTTAGCTAATAAAGTCTTGGTTTATGCCTCCTGATTAATAAAGATGCCTTTGGGTCCCTGTCTAATGTTCAATCCAAGAAAAAATTTAATTGGACCCATTGAGCTCATCTCAAATTTAGTTTCCATCAACTTTCTGAATTCAGCTATTAAGCTAGGATTCATGGAGCCAAAGATGATGTCATCAAGATAAATTTGGACTATCATAAGGTGGTTACCTTCTCGCTTATGAAAGAAGGTTGGGTCAACCGAACCTTGTTTAAATTTAGACATTTTTAAGAAACAAGTGAGAATTCCTTACCATGCTCTGGGAGCCTGTTTGAGGCCATATACCGCTTTATCAACGCCATAACAATGATCTGGATACATTTCGTTCATGAAGCCTGGCGGTTGCTCAACATATACGGTTTCTTCAAGTTCACCGTTAACGAAGGAACATTTGACGTCCATATGATAGACTTCAAAGTTCTTGTGAGCTACATAAGCAAGAAAGATACGAACAAACTCTAATATTGCAACTGGAGCGAAGGTCTCTTGATAATCTATTCCTTCTTCCTGACAGTATCCTTTGACCACCAGCCTCGCTTTGTTATGAATGACATTCCGCTCCTTGTCCATCTTGTTCCTAAAAACCCATTTGAGACCGACACCTGAAGCATCTTTTGGAGTTGGGATAAGACGTCATACTTTGTTTCTTTCAAACTCGTTTAATTCATATTGCATGGATTGAAACCAGTCTGAATGATCAAGCGCTGAGTTAACAATCTTCGGTTCAACTTTGGAAACAAAGGAGTTGAACATGCAAAACTCGACTTTAGAAAAGAGCGCAATCTGTTTCGCTTTGATTTGAGAACGAGTTAACACATTTTCCAAAGATTCCTTGATAATTTGACATTGAGGGTGATCTTTGGTCCTTTTGATAAGTGGAGGGAAATTTGGATCATAGATGGGATTCAATTCAGCATTTATTTCTTCCTCTAGCTCGGACTGAATGTCATCATCACTGACGTTGATGTTCTCTCCCACGAAGACTGACGCCTGTTCGGTATCTGGATTGGTGTCCCCTTCTTTGAGTGGACTCTCAGAAGAGTTTGAAGAACGAGGCGATAATCTCTCCCCTGGAACGATGAACCTTGATCATGAAAAAGATATGGACTCTCCTCCTCAACATCAGTACGATCACTTACAGGTTCGCTTGCTTCTGGCCATTCGGTTTCTTTAGATTGATCGTCAGCCGTCTTTTGAGCAGCGTCATCAATAATTTGTTTTAGATTATCAACTTTATTGTCTTGTTCTGTTGATTCAGAGTCAATTACCTTTTGAGGCTCGTGAAACAAAAGCAAGTATTGCTCGAAAAGATTTGAAAGAGATGTTGTAACTTGACCGTTCTTTGGAAAGATTTCTTGCATAGCACCATTTGTTGATTTCACCTTCTTAATATAACTATCGTCAAAGGTGACGTAGTATGTTTCTTCGATCTTCTTTGAGCGCTTATTGAGGAATCTTCGGAATTGCATCGGCCCATTTGGGTATAACAAGCAGCAACAATTGCATCGGCCCAAAAATACAGCGGCAAGGAGGCGAAGCATAGCATTGTGTGAGCTGCTTCACATAGAGATCGGTTCTGTCTTTCAACACTACCATTCTGTTGTGGAGTGTATGGAGCTGAGAAGTTGTGAGTCGTTCCCTTTTTAGTGAGAAAGTCTTCAAAGTCTTTGTTCTTGAATTCCAGGCCATTTTCACTTCGGACGTTGCGAACAACCTTCCTTAGTTGAGTCTCGACCTGTTTTATGAAGTGCTTGAGCCTTGGAGTAGCTTCAAATTTTTTCTGTATGAAGAACACCCAAGTGAAACGAG